GTCCGATAATAAACCATCTCGTTCTTGACGCGTGCTAAGAACGAGAAGATGCAGCCCATCTCGGGTTCGAAGACGGCTTCCTCCGGGGCCTGCATCTCGAGGACGGCCTCCTCCGGGGCCTCCATCTCGGGCTCGAGATGGCTTCCTCCGGGGCCTCAACCTCGAGGACGGCCTCCTCCGGGGCCTCCATCTCGGCTCGAGGACGGCTTCCTCCGGGGCCTCAACCTCGAGGACGGCCTCCTCCGGGGCCTCCATCTCGGGCTCGAGGACGGCTTCCTCCGGGGCCTCAACCTCGAGGACGGCCTCCTCCGGGGCCTCCATCTCGGGCTCGAGGACGGCTTCCTCCAGGGCCTGCATCTCGAGGACGGCCTCCTCCGGGGCCTCCATCTCGAGGACGTCTCCTCGGGCCTTCATCTCTTCCTCCGGGGCCTCATCTCGAGGACGGCTTCTCAGGGGCGGCATCTCGAGGACGGCTTCCTTCGGGGCCTGCATCTCGAGGACGGCTTCCTCGGGCCTCCATCCTTCGAGATCCTCCGGGCCTGCATCTCGAGGACGGCCTCCTCCGGGGCCTCCATCTCGAGGACGGCTTTCCTCCGAGAGACGGCTTCCTCCGGGGCCTGCATCTCGAGGACGGCTTCCTCCGGGGCCTGTATCTCGAGGACGGCTCCTCGGGGCCTCCATCTCGAGGACGGCTTCCTCCGGCCTTCATCCGGACGGCCTCCGGGCTGCATCTCGAGGACGGCTTCCTCCGGGGCCTGCATCTCGGACGGGGGGCCTGCATCTCGGGGTTCCTCCGGGGCCATCTCGAGGACGGCTTCCTCTATCTCGAGGGCCTGCATCTCGAGACGGGCTTCCTCCGGGGCCTCCATCTCGAGGACGGCTCCTCCGGGGCCTCCATCGAGGACGGCTTCCTCCGGGGCCTGCATCTCGAGGACGGCTTCCTCCGGGGCCTGCATCTCGAGGACGGCTTCCTCCGGGGCCTGCATCTCGAGGACGGCTTCCTCCGGGGCCTCCATCTCGGACTCGAGGACGGCTTCCTCCAGGGCCTGCATCTCGAGGACGGCCTCCTCCGGGGCCTCCATCTCGAGGACGGCTTCCTCCGGGGCCTCCATCTCGGACTCGAGGACGGCTTCCTCCAGGCCTGCATCTCGAGGACGGCTTTCCTCCGGGGGCATCTCGAGGACGGCTTCCTCCGGGCCCTCTCGAGACGGCTTCCTCCGGGGCCTGTATCTCGAGGAATCTCGAGGACGGCTTCCTCCGGGGCCTTCATCTCGAGGACGGCTTCCTCCGGGGCCTGCATCTCGAGGACGGCTTCCTCCGGGGCCTGCATCTCGAGGACATCTCGAGGACGGGGCCTGTCTAAGGACGGCTATTATATTATATTATATATAATACGGTATGTTTAATTGGTCCGTGCACGTTGCACGCGGGCTGCATCTTCTCGTTCTTAGCACGAGTCAAGAACGAGATGGTTTATTATCGGACGAGGTGGTTTCATTCTTGAGGGTCCTCCATCTCGGGCTCAAGGACGGCCTCCTCCGGGGCCTCCATCTCGGGGCCATCTCTCTCCTCCGGGCCTCATCTCGAGGACGGCTTCCTCCGGGGCCTCCATCTCGGGTTCGAAGGCCTCCATCTCGGGTTCGAGGACGGCCTCCTCCGGGGCCTCCATCTAGGGTTCGAAGACGGCTTCCTCCGGGGCCTTCTCGAAGACGGCTTCCTCCGGGGCCTGCATCTCGAAGACGGCTCCTCCGGGGCCTGCATCTCCGGGGCCTGCATCTCGAGGACGGCTTCCTCCGGGGCCTGCATCTCGAGGACGGCTTCCTCCGGGGCCTGCATCTCGAGGACGGCTTCCTCCGGGGCCTGCATCTCGAAGACGGCTTCCTCCGGGGCCTGCATCTCGAAGACGGCTTCCTCCGGGGCCTGCATCTCTCGAAGACGGCTTCCTCCGGGCCTGCATCTCGGGTTTCTCCGGGCCTGCATCTCTTCCTCCGGGGCTGCATCTCGAAGACGGCTTCCTCCGGGGCCTGCATCTCGAGACGCTTCCTCCGGGGCCTGCATCTCTCGACGGCTTCCTCCGGGGCCTGCATCTCGAGATCCTCCGGGGCCTGCTCTCGAAGACGGCTTCTCCGGGGCCTGCATCTCGAGGACGGTTTCCTCCGGGGCCTGCATCTCGAAGACGGCTTCCTCCGGGATGGTTTATTATCGGACGAGGTGGTTTCATTCTTGAGGTCGAAGATGCCTCCGGGGCCTCCATCTCGAAGACGCTTCCTCCGGGGCCTCCATCGGGTTCGAAGACGGCTTCCTCCGGGGCTGCATCTCGGACGGCTTCCTCCGGGCCTGTATCTCGAAGACGGCTTCCTCCGGGCCTGCATCTCGAGACGGCTTCCTCCTCTTCGAAGACGGCTTTCCGCCGGGCCTGCATCTCGAAGACGGCTTCCTCCGGGCCTGTATCTCGAAGACGGCTTCCCTCCGGGCCTGCATCTCGAGGACGGCTTCCTCC